ATTTAGGAAGCCCTGCTCTAGAGCAGTACCCATCACAGAGTTGTCTGATACCAGGTCTAGTCCAGAAACTGTTAGTTACTAATCCATGGCCATGTAAGTTGAGCAGAAACATTTAGAAACTTTTACAGTAATGTGATATTTTTATTATTTTATTAAAGTGTCCACTCCACAAATGATTAGAAATTTTAAAAACTGCTCCATCACCATAGATAAATTTAAAAACCTTGCCATTCATTGGAGTGGAGTTGGTGGGGCATAGGGTGAACACACTGTCAACTTAAGCAGATATGAAATACTTTCCATACTGTTGTTCTAGATGAGAAATCCCCCACTGCAGCGGGGTACAAGTGTCCCACTTCCTCCTCATCTTCACCAACTCTTAGTTTTGAAGGACTTACATTTGCTAATTGGGTGGGTGTTAAAATAGTATATTAATGTGATTTTAATTTGATTTGATTACTGATGAGATTGAGCATCTTTTATTATATTTATTGGCCATCTTGCCTTTCTCTTCTGCTAAATGCCTCTTCAAGTATTTTATCCATTTTCCTACTGGATTTATTTATCTTTCACTTACTGATTTATAGATTTAATTTGTATATTTTGGATACAAATCCTTTATTGGTTTAATGTGTTACAGATATGCTTTCCTGACTTGTGATTTATATCCTTAGTCTCTTAATACGTATTTTTTTTTTTAGTTTCAATTGATTTTTTTTTTAAATAGTTTATTGTCAAATTAGTTTCCACATAACACCCAGTGCTCATCCCCACAAGTGCCCTCCTCCATGCCCATCCCTTCTCCCCCCCACATCCATCAGTCCTCAGTTTTTGTCAGCATTCAAGAGTCTCTCATGGTTTGCCTCTCTCCCTTTCCCCCACCATTTCCCCCCTTCTTCTCCCGGTTGGTCCTCTGTTAAGTTCCTCCTAGTCCTCCTATACGTGCACACATATGATATTTGTCCTTCTCTGCCTGACTTATTTTGCTCAGCATAGCACCCTCAAGGTCCATCCATGTTACTACACATGGCCAGATTTCATTCTTTCTCATTGCCATGTATTTTGATGAACCAATGTTCTTGATTTTAGCCAAGTTAAGTTTATCACTCATCTATTTTCAATTTGTGCACTTTGTGTCTTGTTTAAGAAATCCTTTCCTGTGGTGCCTGGGTGGCTCAGTTGGTTGAGTGTCTGACTCGATTTTGGCTCAGGTCATGATCCCAGGGTCGTGGTATTGAGCTCTGTGTCAGGGTCCACACTATCTGTACTCTCTGCCCTGAGTGTGGAGCCTGTTTAAGATTTTCTGTGTGTGTGTGAGTGTGTGTGTGTGTGTGTGTCTCCGTGTGTGTGTGTCTCCCCCCACCCCCATTTGCACATGTGCATGCTCTCTATATATCAAAAAAAAAAAAAAAGAAAAGAAAGCCTTTCCTATCTCAGAATTATAGTGATATTTTCCTATATTCTAGAAGAATTTTACTTTTGTCTTTCACATTTAAGTCTATAATCCAGTTGGAATGGATTTTTATGTTATGAAATAAAGGGTCCATTAATTGAAAATCCATTCTTTTCTCTTAGATGTTCCACAACAGCAGTCTACATAAACAAAATCCCCTTGAGAGCTTCAGTAATTTAAAAAATATATAGTTTCTGAGACCAAAAAGTTTGAGAATCACTGTTACAGATCCACAAGAAAAAGTTAAAAGCTCCAATAAAAAAGTGGACCAAAGACAGGCAAATCATTTTTTTAATCTCCACAGATGAATAATAGACATAACAAAAAAGTGAATTTCCTTAGTAAAGAAATATAGATAAGAAGTAAAATACCATTTTAATTATCAGATTGACAATTATTAAAAGTACTATAAATAGCCTTTGAAGGGCAGTTTGGCAAAATCTATCAAAACCCTATTTTCTTCTCACCATTTTTGAAAATATGTCCTATAGGACTTATTAAGAATGTGTCTGAAGAGGGGCGCCTGGGTTGCTTAGTCGGTTAAGTGTCCGACTTTCGCTTAGGTCATGATCTCGCGGTTCGTGGGTTCAAGCCCCGTGTCAGCCTCTGTGCTGACTGCCAGCCCAGAGCCTGGAGCCTGTTTCAGAGTCTGTGACTCCCTCTCTCTCTGACCCTCCCCTGCTCACGCTGTCTCTCTCTCTCTCCTAGAAATAAATAAAACATTTAAAAAATTTTTTTAAAAAAAAGAATGTGTCTGAAGATTTAGCTTCAATATATTCATTCTGTTTTTTTTGTGAGAATTTGAAAATTCAGAAACAATCTAAAATCCAAATGATAGTGAGAAGAAACTTCCAGTAGAAGAAAAACATTGGATAATGTATTTTCTTTCCTCTAATTCATCCAGGGTAGTGGGTCCCATCACTGCTTTGATGGCACCTATTGCTTAATTGTACATAACCATCATTAATCTGGCCCTGACTACCCTTATGTTAAGTAGGTTGTCCTGTGAATGTCAAATAATAACCAATCAGCATAGAGCAGATTGAGTAATTGGTGGTTTTGTTCTTCCACCAAAAATATTTATAGCTTTTAGCTTTTTTAAAAAATAATTCTGGAGCACAGCAAGATAAAGAAGGGAAAAATTAGTCTAGATAATACAGAAGATAGCAGATGAATAGGGTTGATTTCATTGTGGGCGCTTTGCCCAGGACACTTTTAATAGAATATATAGTTACTCTAGGGATTCTGAGTCTGGGGTTATGGCAGGCTTACACATTTATTCTTTAAAAGGAAAAATTGCAAGTTATTGGACTCTAGGTACATTGGTATGACTTAAATTTTTAAACCATTCCTGTAATTCAGCCATTGATAATTTGCTCTGTGTGGGCTGGATTCCTTACTATTAAAATTAACTTAATCATGGGTAGAAAAATATTTTAGAAAAATATTTTGGACTTCCATCCTTTAAAACACAGTGGGTTCTTCATTTCTTTCAGAGTTAAAGTCAAGTTTAAAAAGATGTCTAAACTAGGAATTAGAAGGGGTTTTTAAAAAGTGTATTTATTCTGAGAGAGAGAGAGAGAGAGTGTGTGTGTGTGTGTGTGAGTGAGAGAGAGCGAGAGAGAGAGCAGGAGAGGGACAGAGAGGGAGAGAGAGAATCAATCCCAAGCAGGCTCCGCACTGACAAGTGTGCAGCCCAGTGAGGGACTCAAACCTGAGCTGAGATCAAGAGTTGAGACGCCTAACCAACTGAGTCACCCAGGCACCCCTGTAAGGTTACGTTTTTGTGAAGAATCTTTAATCTTACCATTTTTGAGGACTTTCTTTGTGTACTGAAAAATCAATCAAGTCTTTAAAGAAAAAACCGCCTAAATTTTAGAAATTTTGTGCTTCCTATTTTATACCTTAAAATTTAGAATTACTATCCTCATGTTTAGCCTTATAAATTAGAAGGCAAAATACCAACATGGTAGAAGAGCTTAGTATGATAGTAGTGTAGGATAATGGCTTTGAGTGAATTTTTCCTTTCTTCATTTGTCCACAATTTCAGTAAAATATTCATGACTTTTATCATTTATGAAATTATTTATCACTCTCTTCTCAAGTTAGCCTTTAGAAGGACTGGGTATTTAAAAAGCTAAGATTCTCAAAGAATTATCTTGTATTAGATAAATGGAAGCTTACTTTTGTTTTGAAGTAATGTGCTTAAATAGGCCAAATTCTTAGTTGGAATTTTTCAAAAAATGTAGTTAATAAAAGGATAAAGCAGGAAGAAAAATTATTTTATGTAGTAAGAGAATCTGAAAATTATTAGTATAATAGTACATAAGAGGAAGTAATTTTTTTAAGTATTATGTTCTATTTCAGAAATACCAGAAATTTCTCACATTTGCTTCTGGCATTTACTTCTTATATCAAGCAGTACTTTTAATGAGCCAGAATCTTTTCACCTGCTGTTTCCTCTACCTGGAATGTTCTTCTTTGCCTCTGCCTCCTTCCTCTAACACATTCTTACTTTTTCAGTCTTGGCTCATATGTAATTATTTTGGGAAGCTTGCCATCATCTACCTCCCCTAAATCCCAATACCTACGTTTCCTGCCTTCATCCCAACCCTGCCTTCATCCCAACAGGTTAAACTCTTGTTATTTATTCTCAGGACACCTTTACTTCTTCATAATGTTCACCATGGTTGTAACTCAGTTCAGTGTTAGTTTTCACCACTATTTCCTTAAGCTTGGTAAGCACAGGACTTCTGAGTATCTTGTTTAGAGTTGTATTCTCAGTATCTGGCACAGTGCCTAATACATAATAGTTAGTAAATAGAGTTTATCAAATGAATCCCTTTAATTACTATTCATTTTCATTTGTTTTTTCCAAACTGTAGTTGGTATTACTTAATAATGGGGTTTTTCTTTTAGAGTAGTTATAACTTTATATCATTGGTAGGTAAATAGCTGAATAAAGCAACTGTAAATTCCCACTAACATGAAATATTCTTAGCTTTTTAAGGTTTGGGATGAGCTTCATTCCAGTGTCTCAGATGCTTCTTAATTTATATGGTCACAGTACATTTCTTAAACAATAAATAGTAGCTACAGGTTTTGACTATTCTGATTGGGCATATTAATCTCAGTAGATTCAGTACTACCAAAATAGTACAGTATGTAAAAGATATCATGGTAAGATTATAGCCAGAATTGGTTTCCGACTTTTTTTCCTCCTCCTCCTCTTCCTCCTCCTCCTTTTTTTAGCCTTTTTACTTTCATAGGATTGAGTTTCTGGTTTTTTAAACCCTTATTTGTAAAGCCTCAAATGAACACCTTTTACATAAGGATTTGCAACATTTAGATAGGTCCAAAAATTAAAACCTACACAAAATATTTTAATTGCGCAGTTAGTCTTTCCAAGTTTTCTAATGAAACTAAGTTGTTATATACTTGTGACACAGATGTTGGATGGTAGAAAATAAAATGTTTCTAATACATTGACATTAATATATTTAGCAACTACTTTTCTATTCATGTTACATATTGTGTTCTTTTATAGTTCAAACGATATGTCAGTAAACTTCGAAGCAAGAGTACAGTTTTCAAAAAGAAGCATCAAATAATCGCTGAATTTAAAGCTGAATTCGGTCTCTTGCAGAGGACAGAAGAACTTCTTAAGCAACGTCATGAAAATATTCAACATCAACTGGTAATACAATATTATCTTGGGGTGCTAGAAATACAAATGCCAGGAGGTTTATAGGTTATAGCTGTAAACTGAGATCATTGTTTTTACTGAAAACATCATAAAATTATTAATTTTCTCTGATTAATTAGAGATGTCATATAGCTGATTCATTTATTTTTTTAGTGTAACAGTAAGCACTAACTTTTTCATGTGTGCCAACATTGGGGTAATTAATAGAAGCTGAATTCCAAATACATTTTTCTTTGGGTTAGCTAGTTAATAGGAGAAAAATGATCGTACCAAGAGAGTGACTGTAAAATATTTATTTATCATGGCCTGCTGGGCAGAAGTTTCTAAGCAGCCACTTCCATGGATGGACCTTTGGAAAGAAATATCTAGGGAAGGTACCATATGGAAGTTTGCCTGCAGGCCTGTTCCTTATGTATTTGTGCCTTGGTTGTCAGAAAATGGTTAAGCCCAGAGCAGTCCCTCTAACAGCAAAGCTATTCTCATTACGGACATCAGTTCCTCAGAGTTTTCTTGATTTGAGGGGTTTTTTTTACCTTTCACCCATGGGGAAAATATTTCATCAGGTTGTTGGTTTACTAGCTAGCAATAATCTGGTGGAGGTAAACAAAGTTTCAACCAGTCATGGTTAAGCTGACAATATGAACTTTCTGTCTCATGCTGTTAAATGTTGTTTGCTTCTAGGCAACTTAAGATAGAAATTTACTGTGCATCAAATATGGATTCTAATGACATTACTTCTCAAATCGATAGGTAGTAAATTGTGTTTCTGTTCACTTCAAGATATTTTAAAATTTCCATTATGATTTCTTTGATCTATGGATTATTGCTTAAAACTAAACATTTTCTATTTACCTTTCTGTTACTGAGTTCTAAGTGATTTTCAGTGGGACCAGAAAATGTTCTGTGTGATTTGAGTCCTTTGAGATTTGTTGGGTGTTGCATTATGGTCCAGCAAATGGTCTATTTTGGTAATTGTGCCAGTGCAGTTGAAGAGAATGTGTACTCTGCTGTTTGCTGGGAATGGTGTTCTCTCTGTGTCAATTCAGTCAAGCCTGTTAACCATGAGAGTCAAATCTTCCATATTCCTACTGATATTTTTGCTTTCTTGTCCCATTAATTATTGAGAGAGGTGTCTTAAAATCTCTATGATTATCGCTTTGTCTGCTTTCCTTTAACCCCATCAGTTTTTTCTTTATATTTTTTCTTAAGTTGGCTTTCCTAGAAATAGAGCCTGAGAAGGGAATACTCTGTACAAGTGATTTATTGAGGGAGGGAGTGCCTTCAGGCAGCAGAAAAGAGCCAAGCAAGGATGGTCCTGACTAGACAGCTTCATTTTGATTCTGTGAGAAGCTTTGGAGCATAAGTTGCAGCATGCAGTTGATTCCATTTTGAGGCAAGGGGGCTGGCCTTTTATACTCCTGTATCAGTCAGTCATTGCCTGTGGCAGGGTGTAAACTCCTAGCCCAGTGAGGTGGCACTCCCTGGAGAAGGGGCACCTGTGAACCTTTAGCAGTCAGTAACAACTCATGGCAGCTTGCAGACAAGGTCTGAGTGAGGCACCAACAACATCCATTACAATCCACCACTTGCAGTGTTGGGATCTACCTGTTTTCATGTTAAACTCACTCCATTTAGGTATAGCTTCTACAGGATTCTGATTGGTCACAATTTCTAGGAAAAATTGTAGATGGAGGGTTAATCAGACAAATGAAAACTCCCACTACTATATTTGGTCCCAAGGATGTGGTAATAGTCAACATCTCCCTCTTTTACCATACATTCTAGATTTTCCTCATGTTTGGCTAGCACCTCCACTGGTCTAAATGACCTCCTTGGTGGAATGACCCAGGCCCTCATCTTTAAGAGGTGTGAGACTCTAGGAATCATGACCTTATCAGGCTGTGGTTGCTGTCTTTACTCATTTACTGTTAAAACTAGGCATGGGAGTACCAAGATATGCCCTAATGGATCATCTGACTGCCAAACATGTTCCTATCTGCCCTTATTATATAGCAGCTTCTATATAGCATCATGATGTCCTGCCAGTATAATAACCCTTTTATTTGTCTGCTGGTCTATGGGCATGAGGAGCCCAAGTGACAAAATAGTAGCCAAAGCATTAAGTTTAAAGGCCTTTTGTTGCACCTTCTGATGAAAGCGTACACACTCTGGAAACCAGAAAATCTACACCTGCAGAACCTAAAGGTATCAGGAAGGGAAAAATAATTCCCTAAGTGGATAAGCTGGCATCCTGGTGAGTGGTGACACTCATACTTTCATTCCATAGCTCTTTCTGTTTACAACACAGCACCAAATGGTGGGCATTGGTTTAAGATGTACATTCTATCCTGCAGAATACAGCTTATCCTCACAGGCCATCAACTCTAAGCTGGCAACTTAGCTGTACCTTCAACAAGACCTTTCTAGCAGCCTGTCAGGCTATTAGCTTCCTGGATGGTGGCGTATGTGGCACAGTGACTGAATCCAGTGGTCATGTGTCCACCACCATATTTCGTTTGCCATAAAGAATCCCACGGTCTGAGGTGATATTACATGGAATTCCACAGCAGTAGACCAAATACTCTGAGCCCTTGGGTAGTGATGCTGGCTAAGGCACTGTGGGCAAGAAAAGCAAATCCTTACTCAGAATATGGATCAGTCCAAGTCAGGATGAAATATTGCCCTTTTTAAGGCAGGAAGATGATTGATTTCCTCAAGGTATAATTATATTTAGAGCTCAGGATTGGTCTCTCTATTGTTGCCAGGTCAGATATTTGGCAGTGGACATAGCTCGATGGGCATTGGCGAGAGGACCGATGCCATTTGGACCTTGCTTAGCCTCCATCTCTGTCAACATAGACATTCTGTTCATGAGCCCATCGTCCAAGCACTGGGTGGCCAATAACAGAGGCTGGCTGACATCTGTTGGCCAAATCATCCTTTCCACTTGGCTGCTTAGTGTCACTTCTGCTGTGGACATCCTCTACACCATTTCTTTGTGGACATTCACACACCATTAGTGTGTAATCAAAGGATCTTCATACTCAGTGTATTGCACCCATAGGTCTATCTGCATGCCCTTCTCCAGACCTCCTTGTCCCCAGTCTTCCAGTCCTGGTACCTTGCTTCTTCCAGGCCCCTGACCAATAAGCTAACCCACTTGCCACTTGCCCAGAGGATACAGGATAATCTAGGGGTTCAAGGTTCTCAAGTGAGTCTTGGCAGGTATTCCGTTCCAGACTCAGCATCCTTTCTCAGAGCCCTGACTTTAGCATAGAATATATTCAACTTCCTCTGAAGTTTTGCCCTGCTAACAATTAAATTGTGTGCCTGGTTTTCAGCTCCCTCTGCCCTTCAGCCATAGGAAGTGAGGGTTTCTTTAAAGTTTCTAAGAAGGTTCTCTAACCTTATCGCTTTACTTTAAATTATGCATTAACATATTTGAGCCTGTCATTTTATCTCTTCAACTATACTTGGAGCTTGGCCACCCCAATTCCTTAATCCTTATAGTTATTTCTCCACACTTCTCAAGCACCAGCAACATCATATACCAGCTAGTATAGTGCGTCCCTGTGACAATTCAAGAAGCAGACACCAAAATGGAATTAGACGTAAAAAAGATTTGTTGGAGGAGACACATATGAAAGATAAAGAGAAGGGAGCAAGAGGAGACAGGGAAAATCATTAGGCCCTAAACAAGTGTGACATCCATGAAGGGAGACAGAAGGAGGAGGATTGCGTAGGAAGAGTCGCAGACTGCAGCACAGTTTGGGGAAAGTTTTGTTTAGGATGAGGGGGAATTCCTGAGCTAGTTACCCATCAGAGGAGTCCCCTGTCAGGCAGGAATGGGCCAGCACTAGTACCATTGCCATGCTCAGTCATTGCTAGGAACAGCCTGGGAGAAGCATGGGCTTGGTAAGAACATGATGGTGGATCCAGAGGGGCAGCAGTTATGCCTATCAGTCAAATCTGTTCTTCTCAGCAGGCTCTCCTGAAGGAGATTTGAGCAGTCCATTCTCATGGTTACCACTGTCACCTTTCACATATACTCTGCCTCAGTTCACCACAAGTCTTAGCAATTGCACTGCTATGACATGTATGGGACTAACAATATTCACCCTGCTTTCACTGATGGAGCCCTCAGTTTCTTTCAGCCAGTGAGTTACCCATTCTAGAAGCCCATTCTTAGAGTTTGGTCAGGTTCTCTAGAAGCAGAACCTGAAACAAGAAGTCTCATTCCTTTTCACATGATTAATTCAGAGAGTGCTTTTAGGAGAAAGGAAGTGAAGGAACCAGAATGAAGAAATGAGGCAAAGTAGATTCATTTGGAGTCGAGTTTCAGTCTGATCCCATGAAGAGCCCTGGAGCACAAATTGCATCACAAAGTTGGTCTCATTTTTAGGCAAAAAAACTACCCTTTTGTACTCCACTATCAGTCATTTGCTCTGGACCCTTACTAACACCCAGGAGTTGGTGTGATACGTTTCCTGTTCAGCCAATGGCACACTTTGAAGAAGGGGTAGCTGTAAGCCATAAATAGCCAACAGCTATTCTCACAACAGCTATGAGATCAGGTACACTGACCTGGTAAGCAGATCAGGACGGAACACCCAGTGCAAATATCCTAAGATTCTGTTATTAGTCCATAAAAATCTAGTATCATTATCTTCCTGTTAAATTGGCCTTGTGATCATTAGGAAATATCACTTTTTTTTAATCTCTCATAATATCCTTTGCCTTAAAATATACTTATCAGTTATTAATACAGTCACACAAACTTTCATTTAGTTAATGTTTAAAAGACGTATATCTTTTGCATCCTTTCAACCTTTCTTCATCTTTGTAAACATTGTATATATTTTATAAGAAATATGTAGTTAGCTTTTTATTTTTATACAGTGTGGCATCTTTGTCTTTTACTTGAGGTATTTAATCTCTTTACATTTAATGTAATTACTGATAAAATTTTGTTTCATCTGTTCTTCATTCTT